GAAAGATCCAGCTGAGTTTTACCAACTAGCAAATGCATACAACCCTATCTCAATTAACTCACATTGCTTATGGACTTTTATCTAATAATAATTCACCCTGAGTAGGTCCACTGTTTTTATTACTATATTTTCATCATTGCATAGCTGGCCCAGACTGAAGACAGATTTCTCTTCCCACCAGCAGGCCTCATTGTGTCTCACTCCAGGTGAAAGGTATAAACTGGTAGAAAAAAAGAGCAGAATTTTTAATATCCTCCTTCCACATTAATAGGAATCAAGATACTAACTCAAGTTTAAAAGGACAAGAAATAGGAGCAAAAGGAATTAAACAAACAAAATTAAGCACTTGAAAAACTAAAATTAATATAACATTTAAATAATGAGAAGTAGAAATAAAGTAAATAAACTATATACTTTTTGTTTGCAGTTAAATGTTGGATTAGTTTTCTGATTCTGCATGGCAAATTATTATAAGTTTATCAACTTAAAAGACAACAAATTCATTATTTTTCAGTTTCTGTGGGTCAGTGTCTAGGTTGGCTGTATCCTCTGCTCAGGGTCCAAGCTGAAATCAAGGTGTCAGCAGGGCTTGTCGTTTTCGTCCAAACTCTTTCATTGTTGGCATAATTCATCACCTTGCAGTTGTATGACTGAAGCCCCTGATTTCTTGCTACTGTCAGCAAGGGATCACTTCCTCTCCTAGAGGCCACCCTCAGGTTCCAGCCATACAGCTCTCTTCTTTCAAAGCATGGCAGTTTTCTTCTTCAAGTAGACTCTTTTTTTTTTTTTTTTTTGGAGAGGCCCAGTCCCCCTGTTAAGGGATCATCTGAACAGGTCAAGTCCACGCAGGATAATCTCCATCGCATTAACTAAAAGATTAATAACCTAATCAGAGTTATAGCCCATAATATTCACAAACCTCACCAACCCTCAAGGGAAGAGGATTAAATAGGGCATGCACACCACAATGAGGGAAACTTGGTGGCCATCTTTGATTTCTGCCTAGCACACAGTCTGATCTGCAGATATTAACTTCTATATATAAAATAGATAAACAAGTTTCTACTGTATAGCATAGGGAACTATATTCAATATCTTATAATAACCTATAATGAAAAAATATGAAAAGGAATGTATGTATGTACATGTACAACTGAAACACTATGCTGTACACCAGAAATTGACACAACATTGTAAACCGACTATACTTCAATTTTTTTAAAAAGTAGGCAAATCAAAAAACAGAAGAACAAGCATACTATTCAAATATATTTAGACTTTTAACAGTAAAAAGAGATAGTTAAACATACATCGGTTTTGAGGAATAGATGTGGGCAGGGAGAAAGACTTGCTTTTCTTCATGTTTTTATGTACTATTTCATGTGCTTCTATGTATTATTATTTTATATTACACAAGAAATAATGTTACTGTAGAAAATTAGAAGCCACAGACAGGAATGGTGAGCAAATGTCATCTTCACAGGCTCATTTTCCTATCCTTCTTTTAAGTGTTCAAGTTACTTTGGACTGATTCTTTGAACTTACTCTCTTCTTTCTCTACCTACCCTCCCTGGATGATTTCACCCACTCCTGTGGCTTCAACTATCTTCTACATGCTGATGATTTTCAAATACATATTTATAGCCCTGACCTCTCTTTTGAGTTCCATGTTTTTAATTTCTCTTACATATCTCTAACTATTTAACCCACCAGCATCTCAAATCTACTAAGTCGAAAATGTAATTTCTAATTTGCTACCACCAAACCTTCTCCTTCTTGCATTTCCTATATCAGTTGATAGCATAAATATTCACTCAGTCTCCCAAACTACAAATTTTGAAGTCATCTGTCATGCCTGCCTATCCTCCACTATTCATGGTCACCAAGTCCTCCTGACTATACATCAGGCTAGGTCCACATCTGACACTGTCTCACCATCACCACTGCCACACCTTTGCCATGCCTCATTTCTTTTAACTGATTTCCATCATCAATCTTCCACTTAATAATCTATCCCCCAGACTCCTAGGGGTCATCTTCCTAAAATCCAAATTTGATTATGTCACTCCCTGCTTGAAAACTCTGCTTCTCCCCAGTTTCCTTAAGGATAAAGCCCAACCCAAATCTCATCCTCATCTCCATTTCCTCCTCATCCCTCCTCTGTTCCTCCTTCTCATCTCCCTCCCATGCATACACAATTGATATTCTAGATATACTGAATTAATCACTATTTGATAGATATGACATGTTCCTTTATAATCACTGAATTTTACACGTGCAGTCCTTTCTGCCTAAAATGTTCTAGCCTCATGTCCATCTACTCTTGTCTCCTCCCTGGTCCTTCTCTATCTCAGCTTCTTGCACACTGCTCCTTTCTGTAGCAAACCTCTCATAGTTTTATGAATACACCTGCCCTTTGACCATCCTGTCTTTTCACATATCACATTTTTCTCTCTCTAGAATGCATTCATCAAACTCATACTCACTTTTGAAGACCCAGATTAAATGTTGCCTCCTCTAACAGAGACTTCCTCAGCTCCTCACAAAGAGATCATTCCTTTGCCTCACAACATATAGTTCTTAATATGATTACTGCATTTTTCATTATCATCTCACTTATTATCTTCCCCACTCAAGGACATTTTCAGGAGAGAGAATCTCTATTATTTGCATCTACATCATTAGTACCAAACACAATTCCTGGCACATATCAGGTGCTCAATAAATGTTGTATAAATCAAAATTAACCTGCACATAATGGCCACTTAATTTATTTAAAAGGTAAAATTATAATGCATATGTATATGTAAAAGTGAACCTTGTCCTCATTTCACACCATATGCAAAAAATTTATTCCAGATAGATTATAAAGCTAAACGTGATTTTAAAATGAAACTTCTAGAAGATAAATTTGGAAAACACCTTTATGACTTATGACCTGGAGCAGGCAAAGATATCTTAAACAGGACACAAAATATGCTAATCAGAAAAGAAAAGATTGATAAATTACACTACATTGAGATTAAGAACTTCTGGTCATCAAAAGACACAACTAAAAAACCAAAAAGACAAGTCACAGAATGGAAAAGATACTGGCAACACATCCAGCCAACAAAGAATTTGCACCAATTACAAATAAATTTTTCTAAAAATAAAAAACAGACAGCCCCGTAGAAAAAAACTATCGGCAAAAATATGAGCAAATGACTCACAAAAGAATATATTCAAATAATATGGAAATTAAAAGTACTCAATTTCATTAGTCATCAGAGAAATGCAAATGAAACTCACAAATGAGATATCAAAAACATACTCATCAGATTGGCTAAAATTAAAAAGACTGAAATATCAAATGTTGGTGAGATTGTGGAACAAAAGGAATCTCATGCATTACTGGTGACGGTTTAAAATGGTACAACCTCTATGCAACTGTTTGACAGTCTCTATTAAAATCATATACACCATACCCTTTGACCCAGTATTTCCACTTCTAGGTATATACCCACAGATACCTTTACATATGTATACCAAAGAGAATTAACAAGAATGTTCACTGAAGCATTCTTTGTAACAGCCCCAAAATGGAAATAATATAAATGTTCACCAATAAAAATTAATAAATTGTGGTATATTTATAAAATAGGAATTATACACTAACAATAATGCAAAAACATTGATAAATTAACAAAATGTTGAACAAAAGAAGCTAGACACAAAAGAGTACATACGACATGAGTCTACTGACTTAAGCTTCAAGAAACAGGCAAAACTTTGCTGTGGCAATAGAAATCAGGTGTGTGTAACGGTTTGGGGGCCGCACAGGCAGACCTCTTGCAGTGCTAGTAATGTATTCCTATGTGGTGCTGTTTACATAAGTTCATCAGGTTGCACATTTATGATTTTTTTCACTTTCCTGTATGTACACTTCAATTTACAGTTTACTTAAAAATTTAACTTGCATTGCTCTTACATTCTCCAGTATTAATGACCTATTTGTTGGATTGTAGTTTGTACAATCAATAAGAAAGTGAATAGTATGTTACCCTGTTGCTATTTCCTGGAATCAGTTTCTGAACTAAGATTATTACCCTAGCACGTTAAATCATTTGAAGGCATTATAAGAGCCAATTACACTGAATGTCCCCTTAACCTGTTAATTTTTCAAAGGACAAAAGTTTGAAAAGCATGATTTCACAGTGTGTTTACAGTTAACTGGCAAGATTTCAAATGAAAATTCTGATTGTTATTGTTAAAAAATCAAGCTACTCTTTATCTTCCTTTAGAAAGCTGCATTTACCATATGTTACTAGACTAGGCTGATAATGTCCCCCCAAATATATCAGGTCCTAATCTCAGGAACCTGTAAATGTTACCTTGTAAGAAAAAAGGTCTTTTCAGATGTGATAAAGTTAAGGATCTTGAGATGGAGAGAGCATCCCTGATTATCCAGGTGGGCCCGAAATGTAATTATATGTATCCTTATAAGAAGGAGACTACATACAGAAGAAAAAGTGATATAAAGACAGAGCAGAGAGAGATTTAAAGATACTGGCCTTAAAGACTGGAATGATGTGACCAGAGGCCAAGGAATGCTGGCAACCACCAGAAGCTGGAAGAGGGAAGAAATGCATTGTCCCCTAGAGCCTTCAGAGTGACTGCCACCCTCCAAACACCTTGATTTCAGCCCAGTGATAAGAGTCTGTACTTCTGGCCTCCAGAATTGTAAGATAACAAATTTCTGATGTTTCAAGTCACCAAGCTTGTGGTAATTTGCTACAGCAGTTACAGGAAAATAATACAGGTGGTAAATATCATCCTCATCTCCATTTAAGAACAGAACTTGTCAAACACTGTAAATTGTGTAATATCTCTAAAAATAATACCCGTTTTCAAACGTGATTAGTAGGTGCATTTTCCCAGTTGATATTAGAGACTGTGGCATCTTATAGAACACAGAGGTATTCACAGCAAGCAGCAAAATATGACAAATACTAGAACCTTTAAAAATACAAGTTTTTTGTGATGTTTCTACTCTCAAGTTATCTTTTGTCTGCTACGAGCTGGGCTTTAATACTTGCTAGTACTTAGAACTTCAAGTGGTGTTAAAGACAAAATGCAAGCATTCTAAGTCAAAAACTCAAGAGTGTGAAAAGCAATTCATTCATTAAGGATTGTTTAAAATGCAAATATATAGGGATATACTGAGATTTCAGAGAGTCAAATAAAACCTAAGTGCCTATGATAATTCATTAATCCACTTATCCTCAGTGAATGCTTAAGCTAATTTCAGCAATTGTATTCTCAATGAATGTCCCAATTCACCCAAAAGATTACTATTTTATTCAATCCATACTTATCAGGTACTAATAGATAAGGGAGTGTGCTAGTTGCTGATGCTGAGAGGTGGAAGAGTGAGCCACAGCAAACAGAAACTTTTCAGTGCTAAGTATTAGACATACAAGCAATAAGATACAGACCTGCACAAAGATAAAATGAACATAGATAACTGTATTACAAGGTTGTTTCCCTAAGTGTTATAAGAGAGTTAGAAGTAAAAGGTTAGAGTTCAGTAAAAGGAGAAATTTCTGTACAGCTAGGATGGGAAAAGGGTAAAAGCGATGAAAATGGTTCACGGAGAAAGTGGGCCTTGAATGATCAAATGTGCCAGGATGAACAGTCCTGGCAAGAAAAGCGTAAAGAACATAAACTTGTACATAAACCAGTACAGAGGTGATAAACTGTCATGTGTCCAAATTACTGTACAGAGATGATTTTGGCTGGGGCTTAAAATATGAAACATAACCTTCTAGGAAAAAAGAAGATTGATTAGAAACAAACAGTAGAACCTTTTAAAAAATCTATTAATAACCTTTAATGAAAAAAATATGAAAAGAAACAAAAGAGAAAGAAATAGTAAAAGCCTTAAATGCGAGCGAGGCTAAGGAGGTTGGACTTTGTCTATAAGCCATGAAAATCCACAAGAAGTTCTAAATCAAAAGAGTGATGAGATAAGAGAAATTAATCATGCAAGGCATAACAGGACAAGGCGCTAGGGAGAGGTTCTAACTCTGCCACTAATACACTAATCTTGGGCAAACTACTTGCCTTCTAGAGCTCAGCCTTTATTTCTGTTAATGGAGATCACTGAAATAATGACTTTATAAGATTGTTGTAAGGGTCAAAAATAAGAAGAAACATAACATTACTGTATAAACTTTAAAACAGGATAAGTAAAAGATACAAAGTACAGAGTATGTGTTTACATTCATAGTCCAGGCAAGAGTTCATGAGGGCCTGAAGTATCAGTTGGGAATCTGAATGAAAGAACAGAGACCAGAGATATTTCAGCAGTAGACTAGACAGACTGGGCAACTGTGATAATGGGAATGGAAATGCAGGGAACAAGGGCCAGAGACCTTAAACTTAGATGACAACAAGAATGGGAGCATAAAAAGAAGAGTAGGCTTATGGTTCACTGGTCCTGTCCCTGATTCAACAAATAATCACCATGTGCAGGTACCATTCTAACTTCTGGGGCTGCTGCAGAGAATAAAGTAGACAAAGAGTTGCTTCATGGAGCTTGTGTTCTGTAGAGGTAATTAAAGATAAATGAACACATGGTATGTCAGTATATTAACCACTTTTTATGATCTGTATTTTATGATATTTTGACATCTCCTTTTATGAGGCTCCCGCAGTCCGGTACACTATCTCACAGGGCCTAAATCACCCCAGGGCCAGGTACCACACAATTAGGGACCACCCCTGCATCTCAGAGCCTGCAGAAATTAATCAAACTATCCAATCCTAAATTTGCTCAGCTACTTACCCTATTTTTCCCATTCCTTCCCCCAAAAAACACAATGAAGGCTCTGGCCCAAGCTCTCCTGTCACTCCTTCTGCATCCTGACCTAGCCCTGTGCCCTCCATGGCATGACATGCCTCCTCCTGCATACTATAACAAACTATCTTTTTAATGGCAAAAATCTGATCTACAGGCCCCACTATTTCTGAATTTTAAAATTCTGGGTACACTTTTAAACAGGGAAGTTTTACAGAAAAATACAATCAGGAAAGGGGTTTAGGGAATGCTGGGTGGTCAGGATGATCAAGGAAGATCTTTTTGATAAGGAGGTATTTGCTCAGAAACCTGAACAGGCCTGGTGATACTGGGGCAAGCACATTTCAGGTAAAAGAAACAAATGCAAAGAAAGGACCAGGGAAGAATAAGGAAGTCAGCGGGGTGAAGTGCTACGAGGAAGGAGAAGACAGTACCACACAGGTAATGGCAAGAGGAAGCAGATCCTGTCGGGCTTTACCTGCATTAGGGAGGATTGTGTCTTTTACTCTGAACAAGAGGAGAAGATACTAGAGTGACATGATGGGATTATGTTTAAAAGCATCACTCTGGCTGATGTGTGAAGAATAGATAACAGGATGGGTGAAGGAGGAAGCAGGGTGTCTACCGGGATGCTTCCACAGTAACCCGGAAAGAGGGTGATGGTGACTTGGACCAAAGACTCCAAGTTGCCTCCAGGTAAGGGAACTGGTGGTTGGAGCAAAGGACTCAAGAAAGGATTTTTACTCTGGACTTTTTTTTAATGTAAACTATGAGAATAGAGTGCCTACACACACACCCCAAAAGAAGTTAAAGTTTGTGTAAATTCCATACATACTCCATGACATTGGTTTTCTATTTCTTCAGCTTCAGATCATCAAAGCAAAAAGAGTCATGATGTTTAAGTTATAAGCTTTCATAGACAAGTGAAAAATTCTATTAACCAAAAGAATACCCTATCATGGCAGTTAACTGAGATTTTACTTCAGGTAAGTCAAATTTTTAGAGTACTAAATGGTTTTTGTCATGTCTTCCAACATAAAAAAAAATGGTATACTTGGAAGCAATTCTCTGATATAAGTTTCACTATAGTTATTTTTTCCACTATAGTTATTTTAATGACAATTAAATGTACTGAAATGTATATGAATAATTGAATCCTTTACAATTTGCAATAATCTTCTTCCCCAAAGTATCCTCTTTTCTCTCCTCCATACTCCCTATCTAAAAAGATGATTCATATACTATTTCATATTTTTCAAGCAGATAATCTAGTTAAACATTGTTATTAATATTTTATAATCAAAATAAACTTCTACATGAATTTCCACACCAATACAATTATGTCAAATTTCCATTTAACATAAACAGTACTATTATTCAAAAATATGTTGGTATAAATATTAGAAATTTAAAAAAATTTTTAACTTTGAGACTATACATATTAAAGAGGTTTTGCATGTTGTTATTTTTGTTACCTAAACTTAACTAAAATTACCTTCACCAGCATGTTTTGAAGAATCTTACTCAATGTTGAAGATTCCTTAAGTGAGGTAAATGTAACTCTTTTTAATCCCCACCCCCTAAATATAACTACTAATTTGAAAAGATAGGCAATGTATAGATACAAAGTATCATAATCCAAATAAACCAAGATAAATGTCCTCAGAAAAGATATGTGATAACTTCAACACTTGAAAGCTTATTTATCAATCATTTAGAATGTTTATAGTTATTTGTTAAGGTACACTTGAATCCTCAATGAAGAATCCATAATTATTTACACCCTCAAGCTGGCATGTAAGTTATCCCACAATGAATGGCAAGTGATACCAATTGTAAATGTGCATTACAAGGATCACTTCCCATTTCAGTAGAAACACTGGATAAAAACCTTGAACAGCATCTTATTACCATGCTAAAGCAGCCCTCGTTTGTGACAACTGTAGAGGATACAAAAAATAAAGTCTAAATACCCAAGAAACACATTTAGAATATAATTTTATGGACACTAATGCCTTGAAACAACTGTTTATATTACACTAAACCAGCAATCAAGCTTCTTAGTCCCAGGATTCCTTTCTCCTTAAAGATTATGGAGGACCCCAAGAGTTTTTGTTTATGTGGGTTCTCAATTATTACCATGTTAGAAATTAAAACTGAGAAAATATTTAAATATGTATTTACTCATTTAGGTAAAAACCAAAAAACAAAATAAACTCATCACATGTTAACATCAGAGCAGCTATTTTATCACATCATGTAGCCTCGCAGGTGAAAGGGCGAAAGAAAAGTCTGAGCACTATTTTGGAATAGTTTTGACCTTGCAGACTCCCTGAAGAAGAGAACTGCTTTGAGAACTGCTGCTCTTAAATCTTTTGTTTACTAGAAGAAAAAGCTGAATTTGTCTACTACATCAAGAAAATGCAGTTTTCAGAAGGGAGAACTAACAGTAACCAAGCCAGTTCTTAGAGTTTTAACAAACAACCCAGGCCCAATGACTAAGGTAAGTGCTTCAACTTCCAACTTTATACAGAGCTCAAATTCAAAGCCTGAGCCAACAACAGCATAGCATGGGTATACTTATAGACAGGAGTAATGTTTGTGAAATGCAAATAGTCATCAGCAATTAGTTAGCTGTCACAATGCTCTTAGTTTTAAAAATTAACGTTAACGATTTTTTTATGACTGTTGAATTTATTAGAGTTAACTGCATACCAATACTGTAATTAACTTACAAAAGTGATAAACTGCTTCTGTTCATCTTATATTGTCTAAAACATCTTCTGTGTGCTAAAATTCCTAAGGATAGATAAATAAGCTCTTGAGCTGGATCTGGCAAAACAGCTAATGAAGAACATTTGGACAGTATAGTGCATGTGTGTGCAGCAAATGTTTATATTTATTTATATATAATTTCTGAATAAATATATTTATTTATATATTTATATATTTATTATATTTATTCAGAAATTTCCTAGTCTCAATTTGCTATATTAATTTCCTTTTTTAAGCAAAATCAAAATATGAACATTGTTCCACAACTCAATGAACTCCAAGACAAAATTACAAAGATTTTAGATAATTTTTGCTGTCTATATAGTAGACATTTTGTCTGTCTATTGTACCCCAACACACTAATAGTACCCTAAATGGTCCTGATTGATACAATCTGAGTGGGCTTCAAACTGATTAAAAGCCAACAGAAAGACATCTGAATTATCAAGTATAAAAGGCAAACTCATTCTAAAACTAGAAAGTAAGCATCTCAAGAGCACAGATCTTTGTCTGTTTCTTAACTGATGATTCACAGGCACTAGCACAAAGCCTAAAACATAACAGGCATGTAATAGATAGATAGTTGTAGAATGAATAAATCTATGAATAAAGGTAAGTAACTATTTTAGTGACATATACAGCCAAAATTTACCAACTGATTTCTTTTCCCACATTTTTCTAATGGAGACAATAGTGCTCAGGTTTAACAGCTTGCTTGGAAAGCTAGGTGTTACGTGGGTCAAGCATAACTGTTTCCTATAAGTAAGAGCCATTTCCCTAAATCTAGATTGATACTACTCTGAAATATAGGAAGTTACTAAAGTTATTCCTCCCTTCTCTGGGAGAACGTAAAGTTGTTTATTTATAATATAATTGCCAAATAAAATATGTTTCTATTACTTTTCAACAGTTCTAATAATCATGAATTGGCCTAAGAGACATTTTTTAGGTTAACTGTATGCTGTCATTACAGGAATGAGCTATTTAAATCAAAGTAGAATAGCATTTACTATTTACAAAAGAGTTTGTTAAAGGCAATATTTAAAGACTAAACTCTCTGAAAACTTAACAACCTAAGATTTTATTCTCAACCTAGTTTTAATCAGTATATTTCTACTTCCCAATTTCTAGTAATTTTAAACATCTCTTCTTCATTCAAATATTCTCCCCATTTTTCTTCTGGGTTATTTTTGTTGTGAGACACGAGTCAATTCTGGTTAGGCTAAGACAGAAAGATAAACTTAGTAATAGAATACCTGAACTCACAGAATTCAAGAATTTGAAAACATATACCCAGAAAGGGCAGGAGCAGGGGCAACTGGAAATCTCAAACATAGGAGTTCACATCCTGTTTAAGAAGATTGCCATTGATCTGACTCAGCTCCTAGAACTTCTAGTCTCTTTGTGTCTCAATTCAAATTTTAAAGTCTTGAGAGAAAGAATCTGATTGACTAAGATTGGATCAGGTAAACCCTCCTGGATAAGTCAGTGACAGACAAGAAGTCAAGGACACTAAACAGATGTGGTCACTGGTTACTCACTGTACATGTTGGAGATTATTCCAGGTAATGGGCAACTCTTCTGAGTTAGACATTGGAGTTATCACATGAGGTGTCTACTATAGGTATCATCAGAGACTTAACCACCTTTGCTCATTTATTCACTGTAAATTGACAGTGAGAATGTGTCTCAGCCTTTCCTACCCCATTTTGTATTTCTCATCTGCCTGATACGTAGGAACTGCTTAGCTAGTTGAGTTTTTTCCAGAGGGAATTTCTTAGAATGTGGCTATACAGTTGGTGCCTCCATGGGAGGAAGAATGTTCAGAGGAGCCTTCTTGGTAAACTCTCCAAATATTACATATTTCCAGTCGACATTGAAATGGCTCATTCAGTACATGTCCTTCACTCCTTCTAATATGCTGAATATAAAAAACCTAAAAACTATGTCCCAATCCTTTGTACCTAGGGTACTAGGTTTTATTTACATTCCTATGATCAGATGTTAAACTTGACTTTGGCATCCACTTTTGTTGGTGTGGCCTGGAACAACAGTGGCACAGTCTGTAACAGCAGCTTCCTAACTTGGCAGACTATAGTCTGCTCATCGCAGGGCTCTGGAGCTGATAGTTTTGGTGGTGTCTTTCTGATACTACAGCATCCTGCTTGGGGTAAAAGCAACAGCAGTGTGGGGCTGGGAACCATTCCTGGAAATCCAACCTACAATCTGTGAGCCATATAATACTCTATGATGAATTTCTTTCTGTTTAAACTAGTTAGAGTGAGTTTTAGTCTCCAAAACTGAACACTGACCAAAATACTACTGTTATTTCTTCTGGAGAAAATTTCCATCTGGGAAGAAAAAGATTTGGACCCAGACAGCAATCTAGAGAGATTTCATTCTGCATATTTACTTTAAGTCAGTGAAGCAGGAATCAACTCAAAAACAAAGAATGGCAAGCAATGGTTTGTAATGTGTCTTGTGGGCATTAGGGGTGTTGACATTTGGGTGTAGTATTTAACAGATACCTGAATTCCTTGACTATAACTTTAATTTAATAAAATAATATGCCACTGTTTTGCTATATATTCCTTCCTATAAGCATGTATCAGGATTTTTACATATAAGCACCTTCAAGGAGCAGTGACTACTCACCTGCAAGCACCTGAAGGCCTTGTGAAGGTCAAGCACTGGGTCTTAACTCTAACAGGAAGCATAAGAAAACTCAGAATCCAGGTCTCTACTCCTGGAACCTCAGTGGTGTTCTGTCTGAATTTAGCTGCCCTTCTTTTTTCCTTTACCTCTGGGCCCTTGAGAAGCTCAGTATCATATCCTATGCTTTTAACCTTACTTCAAGTACTGACGAACAGCTGAGAAAGATGCGCGACCCTCTCCACGGCTTTGACTTCTATGGTCCCGTGATTATTTTCTAGGTGCACGAGCAATAGGTGTAAAATAGACCCTGTAAATTTTTATAGCAGATAGTGTGGCAACAACAAATATTTATTGAATGCCAAAGGTATAAAGCATCTCAGGTAGTTGAGATACATCTCAAAAAACAGACCTAGTTTCTGCTCTTAACTCACAAGCACTGACCATTTCACCTCTGAGTGTTTCTGCTTATTTGTAAAGTCACTGAGATCAAACTGAAATAACAAAAAGCACAGATGCAGACCTTAATCTGAGAGGTGTTTCTGCACCTATAAAGTAGCACTCACTTAAAATCCCCTATACTGGGCGGGTTGGGGGGTACAGCTCAATGGGAGAGTGCATGCTTAGCATGCGTTAGGTCCTGGGTTCAATCCCCAGTGCCTCTATTAAAACAAACAAACTTAACTATCCTCCCCCCTCAAAATTTTTAAGTCCCTTATAATAAGTAATTTCTCACCGATAGTGTACTCAGACCTGGAAAAGTCTAGAATTAAACTATTTTACAATCCTTGTGTCTGGAAAAGCTAACCAATAAATCCTTTATGGAAATTTTCTATACCTTGACAGAGGTTTAGGTAACCCAGGCTTTTGCATTAATCAGAACTTATCTAATGGTATATTTAAGGTTTGAATATCACTGTTACATAAATTTTACCTCAAAAAAGAAAAAGAAATGAAAACAAATATTAAACTCGAATTACATGCATGCTAGAATGTCGAGGAGTGAAGTGAACTTATGCCTGCAACTTACTTTGAACTGCATCAAACAATAAGATAGATGGACAAGAGGTAAATATAACAGAATGTTAACAATCATAGCATCTAGGTGATAGTCAACAATTCTTTTAAATATTATTTATATTGAATATTTTTATAATAAAAGTTTAGGGAGAAAAATGTGGTCCCCTATAGCAGACCAATCACAGTTTCCTAACTGGCCCTAATCCTGGGATCACGTTGAGTTGCACAGATGAAGAGACCTATGAGAAAAACCCCATCAGTGGCAAACAATGCAAATATGACAGATCATGGAAAAAACTGAGGTTTATTTTCTAGGCACACGGAAGATGGAGGGAGGAGCAGAGAACCCTAACAAGCTCGCTTAACATCACCCTGCTTTAGGAAAAAAAAAACAACCTGCAATCACCAACTGAAAACCATGATCACAGTTTAAAAAAATATATCTGCAGGGCATGTTTTTAAAAATATTTTTATTATACTGAAAACAGAAAAATTGAGACAGAAATTTACTTTCTGTTTCAAAGTAAGAAACTGCTACTACTGTCTTCAAGGAAGGGGGGATCACACAGAGTGAAGGGCCCTCTACCATAAACACCTTGGTGGGTATTGGGGCGGGAGACCAGGAGAGAGAAAAGGGAAGGAGAGGAAGAGGCAAGGAAAGGAGACAAAGAAATGGGAAAGAAATGAAGAGGGAGAGGGGACAGGGAGAGAGGGAGAAAAATTTGAAGTTGCAAGGCCAAGAAGGGAAAAAAGAGAAGCCAACCAGATAACGAAGAGCTGAAACTCCATGATGGTGGGTGGCCAGAGGACATTTTGAGACCTGGGAGGCTGCCTGATTCATTTGAGCTTATTTGCATTGTTGCTGTGTAAACTCTGCTGTTATCCTTTCCCTAAATCTTCACTAAAGGCTCTTAAACTCATGAATATTTTATATGAATGGGCTTTAAATGGATTTCAGGCAGGGAGTTCAGTTTTGTTTCTGGGTCAGTGCAGTGCAGAAATCTTGAGAAGGGCTTCAGACTCCCACAGGCCTTGGAATAAGAAATGTCCACGTCAAATGTGACAATGAGTGTGTATATGTCCATGAATGACTGAAAAATTGTGCTGAACACTGGAATTTGACACAACATTGTAAAATGATTATAAATCAATAAAAAATGTTAAAAAAACAAAAACAAAAGAAATGTCCACGTCAATTTTATGGTGATCTCTGGGCTCAGGATGAATGGGAAGCAGCGGGGTTGGTGGGGGTCGGGGGACCAGACATTGGCTTATTCAAGGAAAAGCTGACCTGCTGAGAAAAAAAAATTTCAAACTCGCTTTTTCTCATCCATTTTTAGCCCAGAACACCTTCACTACCAGATTTGGAAATTCAGTAGTCATTTTCAGCTTTTGGTGATCAGTCCTTTTTCATGGGATTATATTGCCACCTACTGGTATTTGAAAAAAATATATCTTTATTATAGTTCAAACCTGGAATTGTTTGGAAGCCTTAAGAGTTTTTCATTTACTGGCAAATTCTTCCATTGTGCCAGAACACAAACTTGTATGAGATGAGGTTCTTTGTCCTCCAAGACTTCATATTATCTAACGGCAAACTTAACAAAAAAACTTTTCTTATCTTTCAAGATTCAGGCACCATTTCATCAGTAAAAACCTTCCCTGACAGCAGGTTCCCACCGTTCTGAGGCAGAAATTGACCACTCCCTACTCCATCCTGTACATATTTTTTTCTTAGCACATACAAAGTACTATTGTACTTATTTTATTACAATATCTGTCTCCTATAACCAGACCATAAACTCCTTAAAATTCAGAGACTGTATCTTTTGTGCATTTATATTGCCAGCACCTGAAACAGAACTTACACACTGTAGCCAGTAAGTCTATGGTAAATACATAAATTAATGACAATCTAAAAGCATAGGCAAAACAAGTATCACTCCACATGAACTTTAACTCGTTCAAAATAATTTTAATTGTTTTAACTCTAGATATGCGCATTATGTACTTCCTTGTATATGTGTTTTTACATTGTCTAAAAAAACCCTCACATTTTACAAAATTCATACATATGAAATCAGCAGAATAAAGAACAAATATTCAGTTACCTCAGTGGGTATCCTTCCCATCAGTATATAATCCATAAACTCTTCATTTTCATAGGAAACTCTAAAACAAGATAGCGATGGACTCTCATCAGTTATGAGGACCAACTAAGAGGAAACATTCAGAGTAAATAAATTTTATTCGATAATGAGTCAGCACTGCTGAGGTATAAAGGAATCTGAAACTTGTATTATTTGAACTATCCATATTAGTTAAATAACCCAGGATCACAAACAGAATTGAGTTTGAAATCTATTGAGATCCTCATGTCACCCACTCTCCTATCTGAGTATGAACAAGAACTAAAGAGCTCTCTCCTTCAGAACTCTTAGGAGTGGCACTTCAAGGGAGCATAGTCACTTACCTTCAGTCAAAATAGAGTCAAAGAATGTGCAAAAGAAGTGTAGGATGTAGGGAGCCAATTCTCACAGGGTTCTGTACACACGCATTCTCAGCAGATGATCCGGACACCTATTTCACTAAGCAAAATTTGATGTAAATTCTTTTGTGTTCTTCCCATTTCCCTCAGACTATTTTCCATCCATTCCTCTTTCCTCGTTGCTTTCTATTCTAAGGTTGATCTCATCCTTTCCCAGTTAAGTTCTGAGACTTCAACTCACAAACCATCTCTTTCTTCACTTTTCCTCCTCTTACCTTCCACCAGTTTCTACCTACAGATCAAAACATCAAGTTTCTTCTTTCTTGGAGTGAAAACAGCCCTATTTGAGTCCTATTTCTGAAGAGCCCAGTGACATCCTAATTTCTTCTTACCTTCACCATCAATTTTCATTAAAGACTTCACAATTCTCTTCTCCCTTCTATGGCACAATTCCTTGAGATCTGAGTTCTCCCAGACTCTTCTCTTAATACTGCTTTCCCTCAAATTACCAATAATCAATAGACTTGTCAAATTCAGTTACTCCCAGTTAAATTCTAGAGACTCAGGCAGTCACAGGAAAGTGATTACTGCACTGAACATGCTTCTCCCAATCTTCTGCACTCTATCCTCTTCATACTTCTCTTAATCAGCTCTTCTCAGCTTCCTTCCCTGGAACCTCTTCTGCTTTCTACCTCTGAGATAGAAGGTAGAAGATGTACTAAACAGTTTAGTCCTTATCTTGTCCTCAGCTGACATACTCCTCCTTCGGGATTTCATCTATTATTTCCATCCTTCTTCACTGACTTAACAAAAAATCTATTAAGGGCCGGCCGTGTGACAGGTACTTACCTTGGAGTTTGTGATTCAGCAGTGAACAAAACTAACAAGGTCCCCATTATCATGAGTTGATATTCTAGTGTATATTAGAAGGGAAGGGTGGGCAGTGACAAATACTCGACAAATTAAAAGGCAAGTAAACAAGAAAGTATTAAAATACAGTGGTAAAAACTTTGCAGTTGAGCCCTGTCACATAAGGGCTCTGAGCTTAGCCTCCCCAAGGCTGGCACAGGTGAGCCCCAGAGGACCTAGACAGGGAGTTGGCTAGCTGACAGTGAGAGCAGCCAAGCCGAACTGACTCCAACTCACAGCCAGACTTCAAGGGGGATCTCTAACACCATGAGCCTTGTCAGCCGGGAGCCTTCACTAGGCGATGACCAAACTGCAGGAGAGGAGTCTGAATGCTGGCAGGGTGAGCAGCAGCCAACAGGACATAACCATGGTGACCAGAGGAACCTTGAGACAACATGTGAATCGGAGAATCCCTCCTTCGTCAAGCATACCATCACAGAGGCTACCCCTCCCCTACACACTCAGGTGCCATCTTAGAGAAGCTGAGACTCTGGGCAGTTACACTAAGACATTAAACACTGCTGAAAGGAAATGTTTACATTCTCACATAAGCCTAAATTTTAAACCTGACTGAATTAATTTCCCTGTAGCCTTTGCTGCTGTTGTTTGTTCTCTCATACTCCCGATCCCCCGATAACCAAGCTGAGCATTGTGAAGGGTGAATTAGAGCAAATAAACTCTTCCCTGAAGGTCTTAGTTGTGAAGTGGGTAGCTTTACGACATGGCTATGTGTTTGTCTCTAATTCTGACCTCTTTCTTGAGTTCCAGACCAGGATTTCTAAAACAAAATGTGTCTGTCCCATCTACAGACCAACTTTTTCCTAAATTTGCCTCAATTAAAGTGAATTTCTGATCCATCTAATCAGATTGAAAAACTCAGAGTCTCCAAAATGCCACAAACCTGAGATATTGCTCAGATAAAAATTTTATTTATATTCTCACTGCCACTATGGTAGCTCAGAGCCTCTTTAACTTCATCTAAATGATTATTAAGTCTCTTAACTGGTTTTCCTTGGAACAGGGCATGAAGATAGGCCTGTGGGAGTAGATACAAAGTGTGAGGATCTTTGCATCACATATTAATACCCATCAGAGAATATCCCACCATGGAAGAGGCACTAAAGGACCAAGTATATAGAATACTAACCAGCTGACATCCTCCAGCTTCTGTCATTGATCACCTTAGTGCTGGCACAATGGACAACGTAGCCATGGTAGCAGGGACAGAGGCTATGCGTGGGCCCAACAGTACGCTCCCTCTCACCAAGTTTGATCGAGCTAACTGCCACAGAAGATTATCCAACTTGCCAGCAATAGAAACCAAAGCTGAGCCCCCAGTATGGCACATTCCCTCAAAAAGATCAACCAGACACTGTAAACTAATTACACTGGACACTTTCCACTCTGGAAGGGGAAGTGATTCACTTTGACCAGAAACAACACATATTACAGGAACAAATTTTTCTTTCCTGACCAATAGGCAGTAACCAGCACCTATCTGAGACCTAACAATGTTTCTAGTTCACTTTATACCCTACATAACATTGCTTCAGACCAAGGGACCCTCTTTATAGCAAAGGAGATATAAGCACAGACCAAGTCCATTGGTCCTACTGCATGCTGCAGCATTCAGAAGCTGCCAGTCTGAGGGAGCAGTGGAAGGGCATTCTGAAGGCATGGCTGAGGCACCCCTTGCAGACGATACCAGGTGAGCACAGGACACCCTCCTCCAGGATGCAGTTATACTCTAAATCAAACACCATTATAGTGCTGCATCTGTAATAAGTAACACACATGCAGGCAGGAAACAAAGGGGAGGAAGCAGGAATGGCCTCAACTGCCAACATTTCCAGTGACCCATTTAGAAATTCACACTCCCCTTCCCTGCAATGCTAGGTTCTATGAACCTAGAGGTCTTGTTCTCACCAAGGAATACAGCCCATTAAACCTTAAGTTACAACTGCCAGCTGGTCACTTCAAGCACCTTGGGCCAAGAAACCAGAGGGCAAGGAAAGGAGTCACCAATCTGGCAGGAGTAACTGACCTTGGTCATCAGGAAGAAGTAGAACTTCTGTCACACAACACGGGGACACCCAGATGACAAACATGTGTTTGTCATATGAAGGATACATATGAAAGGTATCTGTCCTTTCATATTCCTTTGCCTATTTTGACAACAAATGGACAAATAGCCATAGCTTAGAGACTATGGTAAGCATAAGGATTGGGCTTCAGAACTCTCAGTTATGAGGGACTCAGTGACCTCAGGTAATTTGCCCAAATCAGCAGAGGCATCGGCCAAGAGTAAGAGGAAATCTAGAATTGGCTGCAGGAGGACACAATGAGTATTAGTTGTGATCCCAGGACCAGCGGCAGAGAGGAAAACTGGGGTAAGTCCTACTTCTCTTCCTCTTGTATTTCTAGAAGACCAACCATAATCTTGGAGGAGCTATGCCCAGATAGGGTGAACTTATTACATGAAACAAACAGATGATAGTAGGGATTGTGAGAATGCACCTCTCAGGACTTTATTCAGGACTCAGGCACTCTTTCCCAGGTACAAGAAAGTTGCATGAGGCAACTCACAACTGCTATCTCACCAGAAATTTCCCTCAGTTGAAGGGAGCTTCCTCAACTGAGGGTATGTCCCCTTTCCAGGAAAGTCCAAATCAAATGACTGGACCATGAAGGGCACAAGAGCCAGCCCCCTTCAGAACAATTCAGAACAATTCTGAACAGCCATCTCAGGTCCAGAGCTCATAATGCAGAAGATGAACTGCATCACAGTTCAACTTCCCCCTCTTCCAATCCTGCTTTGTTCACTCCCTTACAGGTGCTTTTCAAAAAGGCACCCCCCAATAAATCTTCTGTATGCACTCTCTGTCCTTTTGACATGTCCCCATTCATCTTAAAGCACTTCCTTGCTTTCTGTCATGTTAAAACAATGCAAGCTCACCTTCTACTCTTCTTGCCCTAGCATCAGTCATTTATAAAGTAGTATTTTTGAATTAGAAGAGATATACTGCAAGAGAAATTGGTGAATCTAGATAAAAGTCTTTCAAATTCTTATTTTGAAAATTTTCAAGATGAAAGGTGGAAAAAAATACTTCTTTAGAACTTACAATAAGCATTTTTCAACAGTCAGTCATTACCCAGTGAGACTGGACCATGTGTATACTGCCAACTTCATTGCTTACCACTACTTCCTCTCTTTTTTATCTTCCTATATCCTACAGTCACTGTTCAAACCCTTTTATTGGTTAGTAGAGAATACTAAGACTTCTTTAATCTCTGACTCCTCAAACATCTGCAAATCTCTCTTTCCCTGGCAGGTGACTGACAGCTTGGTCTTGTATAGGATTCATGGCGTATAATTCTCTCACTAGTCCATAGACATTATCCTACCATCTTCTAGCCTCCAAAATTGAATGCAGGAAATTCAATCTCAGTCTTTTTTCTTTTTTTCCTTCGCAAGTAACTTGTTTTTTCTATCTGGAACCCAGTATGATTTTATTGTTACCCCTGGACTTTGAAAATCTTGTAGGGATATGCCTATTATATACAGTTATTTTTCTCATCAATGCTAGCAAACTTCAGTTGCAGTGAGGCAGTGGGGTACCCTTCAAGATGCAGACTTAGGTGTTTCTTCTAGTGAGTTCTTACTATTTTCTCTCTCTCCTTTCTTTTTTTTAAACCCTATAGAACTCGTCCTTATATCTCCTGGATCTATCAAGTCTCTGTCTTCTCTCAATATTTCCTTTTATTTTTAATTTAGGTTTTGGGGGGCTTTATTTTTAGCAAAATTACACATGGGCATCATTTAAAACTTTATAAGACTTATTATGAAAAACATAAGGCCGCACACATTTCAAATTACTCACCCTTGAAGGCAATTGCTTTCAACTCTTCCTGCTGGTTTTTTGGTATTTACTCCTAATCTATAAATAACACTCTTACAGTCTTACATTCTCACTGACTTTCAGTTATAGGTATTACTATCTCCTGATAATATTTATTACAAAAGGTGAGATTTTAGCGCTCTTTCACATATAACCATCATTCTCAACAACACACACACACACACACACACACACACACACACACTTGGGTTCCCTTGTTCTTCCAAAATCTTATAATGTTATGATAGGCCAATATCCATTTTTTTCCTATTCTTTCTCCTCATGCTACCCCTCTAGCCAGCCCTTCTCGAGGCCTGTGGTATTGATACCACAGGATCATACTACAGGATACATAACCATTGTTTAGATTAATATCCATTATTTATATTGACCTTGAAAATACTATGATAGCTGAATCATGTGTACTATGATTATTTTCCCTAGTTAAAAATTATTTTTTCCCTTTTTTACTTTTCTGTGCTAATAACATTAATTTTTCCCCATATTCTCCAGAGCTTGTGTAAATCTCTTCTCAAGACACTCAACCCATTAGGCATTTTATTAATTTCATCTCCTTGAGCCTCCTGACCTGTTTGAATCTAGACTGATTCAATTCCATGCCTGCTGCACAGCTGTCATTTGGTGGGTCTCCTCACCAGCACTCAGTAAATTTCTTTGTCTCTCTTTTGTTTTGGATCCTGTTCTCTCAATTTTGTTTTCTTCTTCCTTGACGTACACCATTATTTTGATTATGCACAGGCTCCAGTAATGTCCACAGAAATGGTATGTGGAAAATGAACCTTTAACTGAATGTCTTTGTTATAATTTATTTCTCTGTATGTATTTGTTCTTAGTTTTAAGATAGTTCTTCCTCTTGATTTTTCCAATGGACTAATTCAAGCAGATCTCCAGAGTGACTCTTCTTAAATTCATCTTCTAAAGTTTTATTTCAAAGACTTTTTTCTATGTTTATAAGTATGCTGGTTAATTTTATGTGTAAATTTCACTGGCCATGGGGTACCCACATTAAACTTTATTTCTGGGTGTGTCTAGGAGGGTGTTTCTGGATGAGAGTAGCATTTGACTTGCTGGACTCACTGGACTGCCTTCCCCAGTGTGGATGGACATATTCCAATTTATTAACAGAGGGACTAAACAGAATAAAAAAGTGGAGAAGGAAGGGATTTGCTCCTTTTTTCCTACTTCCCTGTTTGAGCTGACATCTCATCTCATCCTCTCCTGCCCTAGAAGTAGGATTTACACCACTGGTTCCTCTGGTTCTCCACCCTTCAGACTCAGACTGGATTACACCACTGGCTTTCTTAGATCTCCGGCTTGCAGACAGGAGGGGACTTCTCAGCCTCCAGAGGTTCTGTTTCTCTGGAGAATCTTGACTGCTACAGATTTTAGTATTGAGAGTGGGATGCTGCCATAATAAATACCTAAAAAAGTGGAAATGACTTTGCTACTGGTTAATCGGTAGTGGCTAGAAGAGTTCAGAGGGGCATTCTAGAAATATGAACATTAAGGATAATTACAGTGAGGGTTCAGAAAGAAAAGAAGAGACCTGGAGAGAAAACCTCAATCTTCTTAGAGAATATTTAAGTAATCCTGAGCAGAATGTTGGCAGAAATATGGACCACAGAGGCCATTATGATGAGCTCTCAGCTGGAAATGAGGAACATGTTATTGGAAACTAGAGAAAAGGTGATCCTTACTATAAAGTGGCAACCTGGTTGACTTGAGTTCATGTTCTAGTGTTCCATAGAAGATAGAACTTGCAAGCAGTGAAACTGGATATTTAGCTGAGGAGATTTCTATGCAAGTATTGAATGAGTCATCTTTAGTATTCTCTTCCAAGAATGCTTTCTCGTTTTGTAATATAAATAGGCTGGGAATTTCTCAAATCTTTAAGTTCTAGTTCCTTTTTGCTTAACAATTCCATCTTCAAATCATTTCTCTCTTTTATCATAAGCAGCCAGGAGTTCCAAAGTTCCAAATACAATGGTGGGACAGGCAAAGGATAGACATTCTCATTCCAAAAGGGAGAAGGAGGGAAAAAGAAAGGACGACAGTCTCCAAGTAAATGCAAAACCTAATGCAGCAAATTCCATTAACCTTTAAGAGTTGAGAATAATCTTCTTCGCCTGATGCTCTGAACTTTGCAATGAAGATGCAATGAAGACTCTGAACTTCAGATTTTAGAGACAATGCTGAAAATGAGTTAAAACTTTGGGAGCTGTTGGAATGGATGGATGTGTTCTGCATGTGAGAAGAATATGAGTTTTGGAAGGTCAGGGGCAGAATATTATGGAGTGAATGTTTGTGTCCCTCCAAAATTGTTGAAATCCTAAATCCCTGTGTGACGGTATTAGGAGGTGGGGGCCTTTGTGGTGATTACATCATGAGAGTGGAGCCCTAAGGAATGGGATTATTGCCCTTATAAAATAAATCTCAGAGAGCTCTCTTGCCCCAGCCTCCAAACTATGAGAAATAAATTTTTGTTGTCTAAGAAACCCATGCAGTCTATGACATTTTTGTTTTCGCAGCCTGAACTAAGACAGTATGGAATCTTCACTCAATGAGAAAATTGACATTTTAATTTGCTCCAAGATTTATAAAAATTTCCACAAAGCAAACCATAAGAAGTATTTAAAAGTAAACATATTACAGGCCACAGTCACTAGTCATAATTCAGTCATATAAGAACTAATTTTTAAATGGTTTGAAACATCTTAATGACTTAAAAATTAATTCCTAATCAAAGAGAAAAATCACAAACTCTAGAAATTAATGAAAAGGTAAATGTATAAAAATTTACATAGCACAGCCAAAGCCATAATTAGGCTAAAATTATATCCCTAAATATTTTCATTATGAAGACAAATGACTTAAAGTGCAGAAACATTATATTTAAGTTTTTTTTTAAAGCACGGAATTAACCAAAAGAAAATATGAGGAATAAATGGATAACAGACATAATCTATGATATAGGAAAAGAGTAGAAGAATTAATATATAATTCCAAAAGACATTATTTTAAAGATTAACAAAATACTCATACACACATACACACACAAACACATACCCTTTATAGATCCTGCTTAAGAACGTAAGACAAAAAATTAGCAAGACTAAGAATAGAAGAAATGTATGATTTCCTAGAAAATACAGATAACCCAAAGTAAACCAAGTAGAAAATCCAAATTGACTAATTAGCAAAGAGGAGACTGGAAAGGTGACTCTTATTTTAGATAATAATCTACACAAAGGACCTTTAAATCTGAGTTCTACCTAACTTTAAAGAAACAAATAATTATAATATTATTTTTAATTATTCCATACCAAATAAAAAGATGATTATGTTTCCCAAATCGTTTCATGAAGCCCACATAACTTTATTACCAAAACTTAGTTTAAAAATAAACTCAAAACTGTAAACCTTTCTAATTTTTTCAGTTACTAAGACTGTATTTTATAAATTATCCTAATATTTATTAACCTAAATCAAGATTGGACAGGCCTTGGAGAGGACAGCTCACCTCTGTTCCAGTCAGCATCAGCTGGTGTGGCTCAAAGACTAAGATAGTAACATGTCTGGTGGTTGAGGCTGTCAGATAAGATCTTGGCTGGTGCCAGAATGCCTATACATGGCTTCTGTATGCAACCTAGGCTTCACACCATGGTGGCTAAGTTTTAAAAGTAAGCATCTTGAGAGAGGCAGGCAGAAGCAGTGCCTTCTTTTATAACCTAGCCTTGGTAGTATCATTTTCTCCAATTCTACTAATCAGTGCAAAGCCCAGACCAGGTTCAAGGAGAAGGGAATTAAACCCAGTGTCTTGCTGGGAAGTGACAAGGCTCTAAAAGAGTAGGCAGGATCATAAAGATTGTTGGAATCAGTTTTCAAAATTATAGCATACCACAATCCACCTTCTGGCCACAGCAATTCACATCCCTCCTACATGCAAAATAGACTCATTCCATCACTCCAATACTCGTAATATCAATCAGGCTGAGGTTTGAGGTCCAGGTATGGATGAACTTCTTGAGTATAGTTCCTTAAACACAGCCCACTGAGTATAGTTCTTCTTGATTTGAAGAGCTGTAAACGAAAAAGATAAGTTATCTGCCTCCACAAACACAAATACACAGTAATAGAGCAGGCATTGTTAACTCCTATGGACACTCCCATTCAGAAAGGAGGGAAGGAGAAAGCAGTTACTGGTCCATTAAAAGCCTGAAATCCAGCTGGGTACATGCTGCTAGTTTCTCTATTACAACTCAGTTGTACTGCTTAGGAATGATTCTCTGTGGCTCACGGCTCCCTACCCTGGGCTGTCGGTTCATGTTAAGTAGACAAGTACTTAGCACACTCCCTGCCGATAGACGTTTGGGATCCAAAAGTCTCTTTTCATTTTGTACTCTCTGTGCCTTTCAGTCCAAGCTGATATAATCCTTTGTGGATCAAGAGAATAAGAAGATAAACTACAGACTGGGAGAAAATATTAGTAAAAAAAAACATATCTGATAAAAGACTGTTACCTAAAATATACAAGGAATTTTTTCTTTTTAAAATTTTATTGGAAAAGCACTCCTTCTGAAAAGATTTTTTTAAAATAGCAGTATTATTTTTCTTCTCAATAGTATTGTAACTAAGTTATTTACTCTCCCTGCTCCTAACCCTTGGAGGCAAACCTTGGAGCAGAGGCTTTGACAGCAGCAGGTGGGCTTCCAATCGTGTTAGGAGGAGTTCAATTAAAATATACCAAAAAATCTGAAAATTCAACAGTAAGCAAATGAACAACCCAAGTCAAAAACAGGCAAAAGAGCTAAACAGATGCCTACCAAAGAAGATACACAGACAGCAAATAAGCATATGAAAAGACGCTCAACATCATACATTATTAGGGAAATTCAAGTTAAAACGATATACACGACATATCTATTAGAACAGCCAAAATCCAGAAAACTGACACCACCAAATGCTGCTGTGGATGTGGAGTAACAGGAACTCTCATTCACGGATGGTGGGAATGCAAAATGGTACAGCCACTTTGGAAGACAACTGACAGCTTCTTTCAAAATTATATATACACTTATAATATGATCCAGCCATCATCCTCACTGGTATTAACCCAAAGGAGTTAAAAACTTATGCTCACACAAAAACTTGCACACAGGTGTTTTCAGTAGCTTTATTCATAATTGCCAAACCTTAGAAACAACCGAGATGTCCTTCAGTAGGTGAATGGATAAATAAACCATCCAGACAATGGACTATTATTCTGCACTGAAAAGATAAGAGCTATCAAGCCATGAAAAGACATGGAGGAAGCTTAAATGCATATTACTAAGTGAAAGAAGCCAACCTGAAAAGGTTACATACTGTATGACTCCAACTATATGACACTCTGGGAAAGGCAAAACCATGGAGGCAATAAAAAGATTAATGGTTGTCAGACGCTGGGGGAGGCATGGAATAGGCACAGCATAGAGGATTTTAAAGGCCTGTAATAGCGGATATATGTCATTACACATTTGTCCAAACCTATAGGGTTCACATCAAGAGTGAATCCTAGTGTGAACTATAAACCAGGAGATAATGATGTGCCAATGTAGGTTCATCAACTTTCACCAAAAGTACTACTATGGTACATGAGAGGTACAAGGAGGTATGTGGGAACTCTCAGTGCTTTCTGATGAATTTTGTTGTGAACCTCAAGCTGCTCTAAAAAATAAAGCCTTTCTCTTAACTATGTAGATTTCTTGTGAATCAACTTAAACTTAAAATCCATTCCATTAGACTAAAATCACACCTATAAATTTCAGTATAAATCCTTGAGCTTCCTCTAAGGGTCCTGGGGGACAAATCTCTTAAAATTCTTAGAGGACCTTTTCATTTAATAAAGGAGGTCTGTGAGGCATGACGTGTCCTCAAGACCCTTAGAGGGACTGTTTGCCTTTGTGAGGCATGACATTAAGTTTCCTGATCCCTTTATTAAGAGTTTTACAATCACTCCCTTGGTTTCATGGTTAAACCATGTTGTCTCACAATATTCTAGATTGATCTCTTTCCATAACACTTTTCTTAATGTGAAAATTGTCTGAAACTTGGAAAAACTGAAAAAAATTTCATTTCCAAACTCAGTGAGTTCTGGTTCCTTTATATTTAACAATTCTTTTATTAGCTTCTCTCTCTTAGTCTGATCAGACTACTATTAGCAAAATGCCAGACACTTGGTGGCTTATAAACCACAAAATTTATTCTACATAGTCCTGGAGGCTGGAAGTCCAAGATCAGTATGCCAGCTGGTTAGGTTCGGTTCTGGTAACCTCTTCTGGGTTGCAGACTGCCAACTTCTCACTGTGTTCTTTCATGGTAGAAAGGGCTAGGGAGCTCTGTTGGAGGTCCCTTTTATAAGAACACTAGTCCTATTCATGAGGGCTCCACCCTTATGACCTAAGCACCTCCCAGTGGCTCCATCTCCTAATACCATCACACTGGGCACTAAGATTTAACACGTGAATTTTGGAAGACACAAGCCTTGACACTACTGCACTTTCTCCTATCAATTTTACTATAAGTAGCAAGAAATAGCCAGACAACACCTTCAAATATCCCTGGAAATATCTTTATCATACAATTCATTATAACTATTTTGTATCTGCCACATCACTGTAAGTGACAACATTGCTAAGCTTTCTGCTATTACATAACAAAAATCTTTCCTCCAGCTCCCTATGATATTTTTTTCACTTCCCTTTGAACTTTCCCTGATATCTCCTTGAGAGGCATCAAGCTTCCAATAACAAATTCTTCAAGGTCATCCCACCTTCTGCTCACTGTCTAGTCCTGCCTAGTTTAGCCTCAGTCACTGCTACATTTTTAGGTTTCTGTTACATGGCACCCCACTTCCATGTACCAAGATCTAATTCAGTTTCTATGATTGCATAACAAATTACCCCAAAATTTGGTGGCTTAAAAGAACAGCTATTTATTTTGCTTAAGAACCTGCAATTTGTACAGGGCTTGGTGGATATGACTCATTTCTGCTCCACTTAAGGGAGACATAAACAACAGCAAAGAATTACAGATGCTATAATACCAAGTTTAGAGTATAGATGAGGGTACAAAGGAGGCAGTGGTTAATTCCACCTGAGAAATCGCAGAAAACCAATCCTGCAGTCAAAGTTGGGGCTGACATGGAGAGGAGCAGGTAATCAAACAGTGAGTTCTATTTGGAAAATCACAAGTACATTGGTATGAATAAGTCCAGAGATGGGAGAGCAGAAAGGAAGTAACTGGTGAGAGATGAGGTTAAAAGCAAGGCCGGGAACAGACAATATTTCTACGGGAGGAAGCAAGAGGCCTGGGGTCATCAGCTGCAACACTACCAGAAGCTAGCCATGGGGAGCACCCGCAACTGGGAATCATAAGGGACTGTGAAGAACTACAACTGTTAAAGGTGCCTATGATGGAAATCTGACATAAGAAGGAAAAGCAAGAGGTGCTGACACAGAGGTTGTCAAAAGGTGCCACTTTGGTGGTACCTGACAGAAAAGCTACCAGGAAAAAAGGCAAGAAAAGCTCTCAACTGGAGCAGCCAGGTCGGGCTGGGGTTCCCTGCACATTCTGTATTTCTGAATGACACATCCCAACTTTTACCTTAGAGAGAGAGAAGGTTTTCCCCAGTACCTACTTGAGAATTTGTCCATTTCTCCTAGGTTGTCCATTTTATTGGTGTATAATTGCTCATGGTAGTCTCTTACAATCCTTTGTATTTCTGTGGTGTCAGTTTAATTTCTCCTTTTTTATTTCTGATTTTATTGATTTGAGGCCTCTTTTTTTCCTGACGAGTCTGGCTAAAGGTTATCAATTTTGTTTGTCTTTTCAAAGACCTAGCTTTTAGTTTCACTGATTTTTTCTATTGTTTTTTAGCCTGTATTTCATTTATTTCTGTTCTGATCTTTATGGTTTCTTTCCTTCTATTAACTTTGGGTTTTATTTGCTCTTCTTTATTTAGTCACTTTAGGTGTAAAGCTAGGTTGTTTATTTAAGATTTTTCTTGTTTCCTGAGGGAAGCTTGCATCACTATTAACTTTCCTCTTAGAACTGCTTTTGCTGTGTCCCATAGGTTTTAGATCACCATGTTTTCGTTTTTATTTGTCTCTATGTATTTTTGTATTTCCTCTTTGATTTCTTCAGAAATCCTTTGGTTGTTCAGTAGTATACTGTTTAGCTTCCACATGTTTGTGTTTTTTACAGTTTTTTCCCTGAGGTTTCTAGCCTCATAGCATTGTGGACAGAAAAGATGCTTCATTTGATTTCAATTTTCCTAAATTTACAGAAGCTTGCATTGTGGCCAAGCATGTGATCTATTCTGGAGAACGTTGAATGTGCACTTGAAAAGAATGTGTGTTCTGCAGCCATGTCTAGGGGATGTTTATAGGTAGCTGTGGGCTCAGAAAGTCTTTAGTCAGCTTGTCTGCTGATGAGTGGGGCTGTGTCCCTGCCTAAAGAGATGTTTGGCCTGAGGCATCCTAACTCCAGTATCTACTTAACAGGCAGAGGTAGTGGTGATCATGAGAACTCCAGTAAATTTCTTTCCAAGAAATATACAGAAATTTAGTGAGACCTGCAGTTATTTATATAGGCTAGATTACTCACTCAGATTCATGGTGGAGAAATCATAAACTAGAAAAGAGGGCTGTATTCTCTCATGTTCTCAACATCTCTCTCCTCTCTTCCTCTCTCTCATTCTCATTCTCTCTCTACTTCAACCTACTACATTTCTATATAACCACACTTTAATCTCCTATTTCACCCAAGAAGCCAATAACATGAATTCAGTATGAAATCCTGACTGTCTATTACATGTTTTCTCCTTAGAAATAAAGATTTTTATTTGGCAATGACAATTTTTGGAAAAGAACTGAGAACAACATTTAGAGAAAAGATTATTACTCTATAAAATAAACATTATCTTACTAAGTCTTTTTTTCCTGACAGATACAAAATCTAACTGTACTCCCTGTGCCTAAGGAGTCATGATGGCAACTCAAGATTCTGTCAGTTCTTAAACTCAAGTGGACAAGAATTAT